GTGCTTCCAACCTCAAAGCTTCTTTATTTCACATGCTAATCAGGTGTTTCTCCCAATACCCTAATCTGTACCTGCCTGGCCCTACACCCAGATGGGACAGGGGGAGGGACCCTCTCCTCCAAAAAGGTGCTGCCTGGAGCCAGGAGCTTCCAGGCCCCAGAAAACCTCCGGTGGTAAATTATGCCGCAGCACCTTTGTGCTGCCTCTCAGCCAGATGGGAGGTTTGCTCCCAGTCTTTTGTTTCCGGCTTTGCTGGCAACTCCGATCCTCCCTGGCTCAGCACAGAGGTGAGGGGGGAGCTCCTGTAGGCCATGCCCGGGCTTGCAGCGAGTCCCGAGTCCCCGGCAAGGCTTTTCCCAGCTGGGGCTCAGGCAGCGCCCTTCCCCTTCTCACTCTAACCTGAATGGGCAGGGGAGCAGAGCATTAGGGAAGCTTGCAGGCAATCCACTCAGCTGTGAGCAAGGATGGGAATGCCTACGTGCCGTGAAAGAATAAAGTTTGCTCAGAAGGGCGTAAGAGGTGCCCAAGGGCACCAAGGATGTTTGCTTCTTGCTAAATCAAAAATGCAGAACAGAGAATGGAGTCAAACGACAGCCAGGGAAGCTAGAGAATCAGCTCTTTTGAACGGCTTCTCTTGGTTATGGTCAACTTTCCGCAGCCCCCAAAACCATCACATCTCTGGCACCAACTTAAACAGAAGAAACAAAGAGACGACAGGGGTCAAACTTGGGGGTGGAGGAGCTGGGGGCTGGGCGGGGGGAGGGAGGAGCGAGTCGTGGGCTTGAGACCTGAATCAATTATCCTTGCACGCTGACAGGATTCCTGATTGAAGACAGTAGTCATGAAGGAAGGCAGCTCCCCAACGCCCGGCCCCCAAATTGGGGCAATTACTATCTTATGAGCTCTGGGGCCTGACTCCTTTCCCAGGCCAGTGGGAGGGAGAGCTTGGAATTCTAAACTGTTCCAGCTACAAGAGACCTCAGCCAGCACCTCTCACCCCGGGTCACAGCAACCTTAGGGTGAGATGCCTGGCTGCATCCCTGACCACAGGGCTTTTAACAGGGAAGCTCTCAGAGGAAAGCCCCACATCCCAGGCCCTCTCCCAGGAGAACTAAGGCAGAGTGGGCCCCCTAGGCTCATGGTATCGCTTAATCTCTTTTTTGAAGTGTGGACAGGAGGGAAATATGCTTAGGTTTCATTAGGTTTTCAAGGGGGAAAAGAAAGGGCAAGATCTTTAAAAAAAGAAAGCAAAAAACCAGCTGAAATGAAGGGCTGAGCCTCCATTTTAGCACATGACACTGTAGTATAACTACGGTTGTCTGGTTCCCATAGTCCAAAGGCAAGAACCGTCTCTAATCCACTTCTGCAAGCATGCTAACAAGCAACTAACATTTACCCTGACCTGTGGTAACAGAGTAGTTGTCAGATTCTGTGCCGAATGGTTTGAACATACTATTATTTCATTTAATTTTTACAATATCCTCACATGATAATTTATTACTACTCCACCCCCTCCCCCCACTTACAGATATGAACCCCGAAGTTCAGGGTGATAAAGTGTTTTGTACAGGGTCACAAAGATGTGGCGAAGCCAAGATTCAAACCCAGGCCTGCCTCTGTTTCTTGATCACAGAGCTATGTATGCAGTGATTAGATTAGCACTTGACAAATGTGTGTCTGGGGAATGAATGAACAAATGAATGGGTGCAGAGCCCAGTTTAGGGAATGCTCCTGAGTGTGCTGGGGAGAAGGAACTGACCCTGTCAGCTCGAAGCTGGAAGGAGAGCGGCAAGTACAGGCATTCATCAGAGCTATTTATAGGGCCAAAGCCTGGCTCTGCCAGCCAACCAGTTGGCAGGAAGGCTTTCCTGGGATATTGAATCCCACCAGGCTGAGAAGGGGAAAAGGTCTTCCAATGCTGAAGCTGAGATGGTAATCCAGACACAGTCTGGGGCCAGATGCCCCATGTCCAGGCAACTGTGACAAAACTCATGGCTAAACTGCGTCAAGGAATGTAGAGACTGTGGCTGGAACAGGCTAACAGACCTAGTCGGCCATGGGCATGGAACTGTCTCGAAATTATGAGATGTGTCCAATCACAAAAAAAGACAAGACTACTTTTTAAAGTAGTCTCCAAAATTCTGTTCCTATTTTGGAAGCCCGTAGGATGAATCTTCTCTTCAAAGGAGAAGCAACATAGCCAGTCTCTCCCATTTTCCTTCTTCTTAGGGATCAAGATTAGCGGTCAATCCGTAGAAAGAATGAGAAAGACGTGTAAAATACCCTGTCCTCTGTGATTCCCTGTGTTCTCTGCTGGCCCAGAAAATGGACATGCCCAACGTGCTCCGTATCAGACATGGTCATACTCAGCTCCCTAGCACCTGTCATTCTTAATACCATGTGCCAGTCCCAAAGATGTTATCTGATATGCAACAGGGGACAGAAGAGGAAATCCAAAGTCAGCGACAAGCCAAGCATCTTTCAAAAGTCCAGTAAGATCAGGGATAAGGTCAACCAAGCACCATGACAACACCAGATGGAAAAGAAACCAGTCTCAGCTCCACTCATTTGCACTTATCCTCAGATATAACCCTCTATCTACCAAAGCTTACCTGGAAAAGATCTCCAAGACAAACAGGGTTTCCACTCTTCAAATGGTGGTGGATTGTCTGAGGCCTCACGTCAACCCTCAATAGGCAGATACCCAGGGCTATTACCAGCAATCAAGTTCCCTTCCAAAATCTTTAAGGTTGGAGTATTATACAGGCTCAGGCCAATCCCACAGGCTCTAGGAAAAGCCCCAAGTACTAGCAGCATCCAAATAAGCACCTTATATCTTATTGTCTTGAATTCATTCCTAGCAGAGGTCAGATCTGCCTAACTGATCTACTATGACACACTGTCTTCTCCCTGAGCCCCTGGAACATAGTGCGGGGTCCTTGTGATATTTTTGGTTGAGCGACTGCTCAGTCTCACTGGTTGATGAACCATGAATCTGTCCCCTCCAAGCCTCTGAGGATGGCTCAGTATCAGGCCAGGCGAAGTTTAGATCTTGGTGCCATGGAGTGTCCTTATTCACATGCACAGAAAGCCTCCCATGCTTAGAAGTTTCCATTAAATATCTTGTCCTTAAAAAGAACCCAAATAGTTACCCAGAACCCTCCCAACCTTCTTCTGTGAAGCATAAAATATACATAATTTTCTACCCCTGTTCTCAGTGCAGATGTAGTGTTAGGCAATTTTGACAGCTCTGGAGCGATAAAATCCTCTTGGCCAGTCTCAGCCCGGAACCTTCCAGCTCCCCTTTCCCTAGGGCAGAAGGCGACAATCTCCTCTCTGGCTTTGTTGGTATCCGTTTTGGCCCTTTTTTTTTTTTCAGTGCCGTGCCATTTCCCTTGATCTTTTTCAAAACTTCCTCCAGGGGGCCGAGAGGAAAGTTCCATCCTCTTCCCTTGCAGCCCGAAGGGGAAAAGCCCCCAAAAAGCATAGCTGTCCCTTTAAGGGGCCCATGTGGTGGGAAGAGCAGCTACATTCCTACCCCAGTAGGGCCGCTGTCCCGACACGCCAGAGAGGCTGCAAATAACCTTCTAGGAGAGAGCTCGGGAGGGGGAGAGCACGGTGCAAAGAGGAACGTGGGTCGCCCAGGCTACTACTCCGAGAGGAAGAGTTAAGAGCTCGGTCGGGTTAGAGTGGGCATGGAAAAAGTCATTTAAAACCCACGGGTAATTTAAATACTAGACAAGAGAACTCTGTTTTGGATTTGGGAGGTAAACACCTTTAAAACAAGTGCTCAGGCATCTCCACGCCCTGCCAGGCAAATTCCGAAATTTGCATTATTTCCACACGAGCTCCCTTTACGTTAAAGAACTGGCTCAAGGCCGTGGTCTACAGACCCCATTATTCTGAACCCCACCGCCTCATCCCAGCAGCGGGGAGAATGGGAAGATTCGTGTCTCCCCCGGCTGAACAGCGGTGGGTGAATAGGGTTGGGATTCAAAGATCAAAGTTCTTTGATCTTTGGGCACAAACTAGAGGCAGCTGCTAAATCACGGAGTGCACCCACGGTCCTAGCCGGCTGCGGAGAAACAGATTCCACTGGAGCCCTAATCACACACACCAGTTGCGTACCGGTACCAAACAAGTTATTAATAAGGAGCAGATGAAGCAGCAGTCCTGCTGCCATCCCTCCAGCTTCCCCGAGGGCCACCGCGCGGGCCGGGAGGCTGCCTTCTGAGGTTCGGCGATACCCGCCCAGCTATCCCGGCCAGGGCGGATCTGCGGGAGCCTTCCAGCAGTTTCTTCCCTATGTCCCTCCTCTGCCCCTTTTCCAACCCTGTTTCCCCCTCCCCCACTCCGGGAAGGATCCAGGGCAGGAAGCTGATTGGTCACAACCAGGAGAGGGAACCCAAAACACCACTAAGTGAAGATGCTGCGAGCAGGCAGTGCCCATGGACCCTCTGCGGGAGCATGGTCCGGGGTCCAAGGAACTGTTCCTCTAGTGGAGGAATCCCCAGAGCTCAAGTATTCAGATTCCTCTGGAGCCTCTCCGCAATCCGCCCGAGACCCCCAGCCCCTGAAAAGAGGGCTATTTACAATTTATGGTTTAGCGACCATCCCTCCCCGCCTCCCTTTCTTCGCCCACATTCATTCGCACCAAAGACACAGAGACCCTGTCTAAACCTGAAAAGGGAAGCACCCCAGCTCTTCAAAGAGCAGCGAGGGAAGGCGAGCGAGCGCCTCGGACCTTCCCCCGAGCCTGGCCCAGACCCGAGCCCGGAGTGCTCCTCCACCGCTGTCCCGTCTCGGACTGGAGGAGTTGGGGGAGCTCCCGGTCCCCTCCCCGGAACACAACCTCTGGGCTGCTGCTTGGAGTGAGGGCGAGGGGTCCCAGGCCCCAGCCTGCGCCGTCCCGCCCTCGGGAGGTGAGTCCTGCCGCGGCCGGACCCAGGGAAAAACTTTCCCGCTGGGCCGGTCGGCGTAGGCGCGGCGGCGCCGCTTACCGTGTGCGCAGAGCAGGGCGCCAAGCAGCAGCGCGCCCCACGGCCGCCTCATGGTGCCGCCGCCGCCGCCGGCGCTCCCTGCCGGCCGGGGATCCCGCCGGCTCCTGCGGGACGGCGCGGCGGAGGGTGTCGACGGAGGGTCCCCTATGGGAAGCGTCCCGGTCCACGGTGGCGGGCGCGCCCCGCAAGTCTCCCTCGGCCGCTGCCGCCTCCAGGGCTGCAGAAGCCGAAGCCGACCCACCAGTGAATCCGGAGGGGGTGTCCCGGGCCGGGCCGCCCCGCCCCGCCCTGCCCCGCCCCCAGCGCCGCAGCCCCCGCCGCGGCCACCACGCCTGGTCCCGCCCCCAGCGCCGGCCCGGCCCCTTTCCGCCCTCGGCCCCCGCCCCCCGGTCCCCAGACCCCAGCCGCCGGCGCCTGCAGCGCTGGCCCAGCTCCTCTTCAAGCCGCCCCCACGTTCCTAGCCCTCAAGAGAGCCCCCCTTCACTCTCCCCAGTACTACTGCTTTAAAGTCCTTAACTTAGAAAAGGTTTTATCCTAGCAGCAACTCTCGGATCCCGCTCACTCTAGTTCTGTGCTAGAGAAGTGCACCCAGGCTGACCCAAGTCGCCTGGACGTGACCCCGGCCCCCCTACCGGCCCCAAGTCCAGACTTTATTGATGTCTCAGAATACACAAGGCTTGCTAATGCATAATCCTCTCGGTCTTTATGGACATCAAACAAGGGGCATCAGGGGGCCTGGAGTGCTGTGTCTTAACTAGCGTTCTCACTGTCAAAATTCCTTTCCTGAGATTTTCTTCACCCCTCCCCCCCACCCCCGCCTAGGCAGCGTTGTTCTAGAGCTAAATAATTCTACGACCTCCCGTTTTCGTTTACTCATTTCCTGAGGTGGTTGTCTGGGTCCTGTCGCCCCCGCTCGGACGTCCAGAATTGGCCCAGACGTAGTTCCTCCTGGCTGTCTTTGTAAATCGGCGTAGTTAGCCTCTTCACCTTCTTTGACTTTAAGATCCTGGCAAGAAAGGAAGGGGGTAAGGAAGTAAGCCCTCGCTTGCAGTTGTATTCTCTCAGAGACTTCAGCCTCCTCCCAGCTTCAGTCTCTAGGGCCTTCTAGCAATACTTAACCTTTGGGTTAGTACATAAAGTTATAAATTCCTCTTTTGTCTTAGCTTTGTGGCCTATGCCTCTCCCCAGTGCATATTAATAATATGGATTAATTTTGTTACCACCTGCCATTTTCTAGGTTGAATCTTGTCCTGCTACTTTTGTCCAAGTCCCCAACTTCCTTAGAGTCCTGTATATCGCTTTTCCCTCCAAGCTGGTATGCCAACAGTTTCTGGCTTTGGATCATCTGCAATTTTGTTAAACCACTTTCTTCTCACTAGTAAATAGAGTGAGGAAGCCCCAAATGCGCCATGTTAGCTGAGGGGAGAGTAATTTGTTACAGTGCAAAGAGGATATTGGGAGATTTCTCCAATGGATTGGTTGCCATTTCATCCTCGCTCGTCTGCAATTTTTCAAAGGCTTTCACTTCAAATTACCATCTTTGACCAAAGCTAACATTAACTTTGCAATAGCAAGGAAAAAATGCGTTGTTAACTGCTTCTTAGCCAGTATTTCTCTATTATGTTTTGCCTAAAATTTTTATGCAGATGAAATGTTGAAGTAACGTCACCATGGTAACAAATGCCATGAGGCATTTTCTGTGTATGTAGTTCTTTTCGCCGACTGAAGGCGGCAGTCGAGTCAGGTCAGGCTTACTTGATCTTACTGCTAGGAAAAAGTCAACCGTTAAGGCCTATGTCATCTTAGCCTAAAATCCAAGGAGAAAAGGGTGAAAAAGTAGAGGCTGATTCTCAAGCCCTCCTCCCCACAACGTTTTGATGCAGCCTTCGTCGGTCTCAAGGTTTCGATATATGTTGCTTACGAAGACTTGCTTTTTGACCTGTTGAGGAAGACCTTAGGATTCTGGAGAGCATTTTTTTTTCCCACAATGAAAACTAAGGACATGTGGTATAATGAATACATTTGCCCCAAAAAATCCAGAACAGGCGGTCACCATACTTTCAATGTCAGGGGATTAAGAATTTATAAACAGTTTCCGCTCTGTATTCAAAAGACAGGTTCCTTTCCAGAAGGCATGATTTGTGTTGTTTTTCTGGGATTGAGGAGGAACAGGGAAGCTGGCTGTCCCTGTCTGACTCAGGCTCAAGAGACTGAATTTTCTGTGTGCATCCCGAGTCCTCCTCCTCCATGGTTCAGCACAGTTCTGGTGCACAGAGCCATCCCTGGCTGCTATGAGTCACTGGGAATATCAATGGGGAGAAATGAACTTCATGCATAGTCCCTGGCTGGGTCACCCCCTAGGGTGAGTTAAGTCTTGGCTGTCAGAAACTGCTCTTGTGCCAGGAGTGCTAAGCCATATTTATTTTTACCAGGCCTCTCAGACTGTCTTGTTTGGAGTGAGAGATCCTGAAAAACATGCCAGAATGGGCTGTTTGTCTCCCTTTTATTGTCCCCTGGGACATGCCCCTAGGAAAGTTGTAGGGGATTGCCAATTCCAGAAGGGTCTCAGAGACATTCGTTTCCTCAGAAACACCACCCCTTTCCTTCATCCTTGAAGGACAGACCAGGGGACTGAATTTCTAAGATCAGAATATTGCCCTGAATTAGACCATCACTAATGGCCTTTTCAAAGGATACCCTGGGGGTGCTACAGAAACAAGATAGAAATGGGCACTATTTTGATCCAGTTGGGTTGGTAGAATCCTCTTACAACCCAGGAATCATTCAACAACCTGAATTCTAAACATAATTCTTCTAAAAGAGTAAAAGGTTTGACATTTCCACACTTTAAAACAGTGGTTCTTAATCAGGAGTGATTTTTGCTGACATGGGGCAATGCCTAGAGACATTTTTGGGAGTAGGTATTACTGGCAAATAATGAGTAGAGGCCATGAATGCTGCTAAACATCCTACAATAAGCAAGACATCCCTCCCCACAACAAATAATTATTCAGCCCAAAATGTCAATAGTGCTGAGGTTGAGAGACCCTGATTAAAAAGTTAAGAACATGAGTCTTAAAAAAAGAATTGCTCCATCTCTAGTATCACTTTCTTGTGTGAATGGAGGAAGGAGTTCTTAAAGCTATAAATGGAAAACAAGAGAAAGCACAGCTAAAGGAAAGGAGCTAAAAGAGTCCTATACCTATCTGCCTAGGGATGCCTATTTCCAGTATTAACTCACTTAGTGGGAGTAAGTATTTATTGTGGGTATATTATGTGCCAGACACTGTAGAAGCAGTAGTAAACAGATATATTGGGTCCCTGGAACTTACACTCTGATGGCTGGGGAGGCTACAAGTATACAGAGGCATTAAAAGAATGATCTCACAAATGAATTTAAAGCTACAAATGATAGGGGCATTCAAGGAAAAGTACAGGGTTCTATGAAAGGACAGACTTGATTTAGATTTGGGGGTTCAGGGAAGGCCTGTCAGAGGCACTAACACTAGCATGCTGAGTAAGATTCATCAGGCTAAGTGTGGATGGGGTGGGTCTTCTAGGCAGAAGGAACAGTATGTACAAAGGCCCTGAGCCAGGAAAGATTTATAGAAAAATAGAATTAACTTTTAGCAATGGTATGCTTTTATCTAGGTTCAGGGGGCTACTACTGGAGACCAGGAAAAAAGAAAAAAAAAAAGAAAGTATAAGGGAATAGTTTGATTTGCATTTTTGTGCTTCTTTAATTGCAAACCCTCCATACCACCACTTCAAGTACCAACACTTTTCACGTTCCAGCTCAGCAGTAGTGTTTGAGCCAGGATCTGGGTACCATGGCTGATTCAGTTCCCTGGCATAACTTGGGGCACACCTTGAAAAGTGGAACTTCCTAGATATATTTTTTTAATCTCCTGGAAGCTTGATAGTCACACACCTGGCACGTATAAATAGAGCTTTTGCAGCAAACATCTCAGTATGTCTTGCTTATTTCAGTAGCAAAGATGAATTTAGAATGGTGGATAAACAAATGGATCAATGAATAAATACTCATTTAGTAACAAACATGACTCAAGCATCTATGTAAATGGTCTGTTTCACACATGCCCCTTTATAATTCATTTTCTACACAGCAGCCACAGTGACTTCCTAAAAAACAAATCAGGTCATGTTATTACCAGGCTTAAAACCTTCCAATGGATTCCTACTGCACTTAGAATAATAGCTGTACTTCTTACGTTTTCTAAACTTTTAATCTAAAGTGGGAAAAAACGTCTATTTAACAGGCATTTATTCTGTCAGGCACTGTGTATGATTCTAGAAACTTAAAGATGAATGAAGACTGTCTCTGACCTCCAGGAACTCAGAATCTAGTAGGATAATTCAAATTGGTTGTTTTTTTTTAATGACATAAATATTTTTTAAGTCTACTTTTAAAAATATTGGTTCAATTTCATTTCCAGTCCTTATCCACATGCATAACCTGTGTACATTAGCATTTATAGAACACTCCACCCAACAATAGGGTATACATTCTTTTCAAAGAGCACCCAGAACATTTACTAAGGCATATTTACTAAGGTAGTCCATATTCCAGATCATAAAACAATTCTCAATAAAGGCAAAAAAGATTCAAGTCATATAAGGTTTCTCCAGGTATATCTGACCACAGTGGAATTAAACCAGAAATCAGGGACTTCCCTGGTGGTCCAGTGGTTATGACTCCACATTTTCACTGCCAAGGACCCTGGTTCAATCCCTGGTCAGGGAACTAAGATCCCACAAGCTGCACAAAAACAAACAAACAAAAAACCAGAAACACCTTTGGAAAATCCCCCAATATATGGAAATTTTGAATAATACACTTCTATATAACCCATGGGTCAATGAAGAATTCCAAAGGAAAATTAGATAATGTTTTCTATTTTAGTTTATAAATTTAAATGTTTATAAAAGTACAAAATCACATTTTGAAGATTGGAGTTATTTTTGTGGGAAGATTTTTAACTAAAAATTCCATTTCTTTATAAATATACAGCTTTTCAGGTCGATCTTTGTTGCTAAGTGCAGGCTTTCTCTAGTTGCGGCGAGCAGGGGCTACTCTTTGTTGCGGTGCGTGGGCTTCTCATTGCGGTGGCTTCTCTTGTTGCGGAGCTCTAAAGCACAGGCTCAGTAGTTGTGGCGCACGGACTTAGTTGCTCCGTGGCATGTGGGATCTTCCCAGGCCAGGGCTTGAACCTGTGTCCCCTGCATTGGCAGCCGGATT